GAGTGAGTTGTGGTTCAACATAGCTGGAAGATTCGTACGGTTCTCAATTTCAGAATTTTGTTTGGTGGCTGGTCTAAGATACGTCGGCGATGCTGACATAAGTAGGATGGAGAAGACTCAATCACGATTGAAAAATTTGTATTTTTCAACGTTGAAAAATGTCACTCATGAAAATATCAAGTACGCATTTCTTGGTTCTACTGACATTCCGAATGATGATGTTTCCATGCTAGGTGCATTGTATTTTATAACGTCTTATCTACATTCGAGAGACTACAAGAGGGCTATGGATGACTTCTTATTTGTACTAGTTGAAGATTTTAGTGAGATGAATGTGTTTCCATAGGGTAAGTCGTTGTTCGACAAATTAGTAAATTCATTGAGGGAGGGGTTGAGTAAGAGATCAACACATTACAGACTCAGAGGCTTGCTTGTAGCCTTTCAAGTGTGGATTTACGAGACAATTCCCAGTCTCGATGGATACATGACGAGAAGATTTCCAAAGTGTACCCCAGGATAATGAACTGGCGGCTGATGATCACCTTTCGACTGCGAAGCTCGAGGGACCTAAATCCGGACGTAAGTGACCACTGATGCAGCAGTACTGGTTTCAGAATATTAAACTGGCACATTTTTTCATGTTCCAGATCATATTTCTTAGGTCACAAATATATTTCGTCAAGTCACAAATTGCATTCTCGAAGTCACAGATTTATTCATTATGTCACACGCTTTCAGTATAGGTAACAGACATTTTCACGGTGCCATCTGCCCTTGTTATATCACAATTAATGGAAACAAATTGAATATGTGTGATGTGCAAAATTATATCTGTTTGTTCATACATAATTTTTGGTCGTTGATATTGCACTTTTTGTTGTGATATGAATGGCAGTTGGAAATATGTGACCTGGACCCCCCACCAGCTGAAATGGCAATGCCATACATGAGTCAGGTGCAGTATGAGAAACCTATCCTACCCGGTCAATCACATGGGGAGAAGAGAAATGGTGGTAGCATACACCGATCAGATCATCGTGCTGGGACTAGTACAAAACCGAGTAATTCAGGAATGAAACTATCTACTCCCATGCTTTTGATAACTGATGGACAATTAGGACACTGATCTCTCCATTGATGATGATGACTTTGTTAAAGCACCATCCAGTTGGAAGGGGACATCAATCCATGAAAATTCTCCAAGTGGGGAGCGTAAGTCAGATGACACCATTGATTCAGAGGAAGCTCTTCCAATTTCATCTATCATGTCACAAGTCCATTAGGTCACATAAAAATTCAGGTCACATATTCAGGTCATAGGTTTCAGTTATTAGGTCATATACCAATACTCGTTTCAGTTATTAGGTCAATGTTATATTTCATCATCATAAGTTACCTGATTATAGGTATTCATGTGATGCAGGTGGTCAACGAATTGAGGAATTATTTTAAAGGACAGATATCTGATCTACAGTCTGAGAATCGATTGCTAAGCATCATCTTTAAAGTCAGATCAGCAAAGGAAACTAAAGCGGCTAGTTCCCATGCAAGGTGAAATTCGTACTGACATGTTGGACGTCAAAGCACACATACAGTGTATGTCTGATTCCGTGACTACTTTGATATCTAGTTCAATCGAAGAAATTATGAAAAAAATCAGAGAGAACGCAGGACCAGAAACTGCTGTAGGATCTGGACCAACATGCGAAGTCAGTACCCCAATTGTGACTGTTTCTTATTTGTCTGTTACCACAAACCATTTGATATACACTTCTCATCAAATGCATTTTTGTTCTGATTTTCAGGCTGCAAAAGTCGAACAAAGTGTTGATTCGAAAGGCAAAGCGAAGGTTGACTCTGTGTGTGCAGTTGAGTTTCCATGTTCTATTGAACCTCCATCTTTTGATCTTGGTCTTGGATTCACACAACCAAGCCAGATTGTTGCAAAAACATATAAGGAAGTTGAAGTGTAAGTGGAATTGGTCATATCCAATGTTTTGAAGGACACGAAATGTATTGAGCAAGAGGTATAAAAAAATCTATGTATTTGTTGATTAATGCATGTCACATATTAAAAAATACATTTTATTACGCAACACTCACCTGAGGCAGCACCAAGTCCTGGATTGCCAGTGAAGAGGGCTCCAAAGCCAGCTAAAACACTTCAGTCCCCTTATGTTGCCGATGAAATGAAACAAATAAAATCGTCAGGAAATATAGTGGTCTTCGAACATTACAATCAGAATGTACAAGATGTAGATGTTGCTGACTTTCAAAATTAGTTTCAAAGAGGATACAAACCACATAACAAGTACGAAATTGTTGTCCTATTTTCATAATTTTCAAATAATGATCAGTACTTCTCGTTTGCAGGAAGAAGTTCAATGATAAAGATGATGCTATCCATCCACCTTTTTCCATCGATCAGTACTTGGTGGGAAACAAGACATGGTGGTACGAACTTGTATCCAGGGAGGTGTCGTTGACTAGTTCGGTAAGTTACTACACAAAAGTAACAGTTCTAAAGGGTATGTCACAGTACAGGTCACATTAGTCACAGTTTTTTGTATACTAGTCACATAGAGCATGGATCATAGATCACAGATCACACGAGTAGTAGGTCACAGATGATGCATGGGTCACAGATCACGCAAACAGTAGGTCACAGCTAATGCCTGAGTCACAAATCACATGAACAGTAGGTCACAATCCGCGCTACACAGAAAAATACATATCTGCAGGTGCAACAGTATAGCTCGCATGTATTTATTACGTCCGGGTTCAGTTATTGAATGGTCATTAACTATAGGTTGTAGTGATCACACATTCTAACCGAGTCACACATCAAATTGACAGCTTATTGCATCATGTTTTCTGGTGTATATATGGTTTCTTAATTGTTTATTGTACTTTCATCTCTGTAGCATATGGACGTGTGCTTCTATTGCATACATCAACTGGCAAGAAGTGCGAGAGATCTCAAGTTTGTAGCTACCACAACGGACTAGTTGTTCCAGGCCAAGCTCAAGCACATGTATTCTAGGTTCAAGGATGATGCAAATGTTCTTTTCACGGATGATAGACTGATTGACGATATTATTGGTGCACGAATTCCATTGAGCACTCCATGGGCTGAAGTCGACCTTGTGTTTATCCCACTTCTGCCTACCAACAAAGCACATTGGATGCTTGGAGTGTTGGACATAAAGGCACATACGTTGCATTTATTGAATTCGTCCAGGAAGACATACAATGTTATCAAAGTCCGTACTGGAATTGAACCCTTTGTCAGCATGCTTTCGAATCTCATGAAATGTGTTGGAATATGGAAAAAAGATTCCATAGAGTTGAATGTGGATTTTGATTTTTCTCTTTCCCAACAGAAAAATTGGTAAGTTTTTTTTTCCCTCCACTAACAGTTAAACATATTATAACATGCTGGATTTCATAACTAACAGTCTGATTTTTGCGTTCCTAGACATGATTGTGTCATTTATGTGGTCAAGTACTCGGAGTACATGCTACATGACGATATAGGATCCATGCCCATGAAGTTTGATGCGGGGAGAGCTCGGTTGGATGTAACTTCACTATTGTTCAAACATTGAGAAATCGGGAAGACTAGAAAGTCGGTGCAGCCTACTGGTGGGAAAAGCATTGTTTTAGAGTGATAGTGCAATTAGAAGTCACATGTTGTAATAGATGAAAACATTGTCTAGTGTTTTGGAAATTCGTTTGTAATGACAACGCGGTTCTTTCTTTTGTCTGTTTATATCAAAAAGTTCATTAGTGTTTGGGGACTTTATTACAATGTTTTTCAGAAGTGTCACTATATATCATATTTTGCTATATTGACAATGTATCGAGGACGAAGTCTCAAAATTTAATGGTTACCTGCAGCTTTTAGGATTATCACAGGTCACCAATTTTTAGGATTATCTGCAGTTCACAGGTTACTGGTTACTGCAATTTTGTCACAGGTCAATTCCCATTGTCACAAGTCACTGCACCCTTATCACAAGTGGGTCACCGGTTACCTGCAGTTTTTAGGATTATCATAGGTCACCGGTTTTTAGGATTATCTGCAGTTCACATGTCACTGGTTATTGTAATTTGGTTACAGGTCAATTCCCATTGTCACAGGTCACTGGTTACCTGTAGTTTTTAGGATTATCTGCAGTTCACAGGCACTGGTTATTGTAATTTGGTCACAGGTCAATTCTCATTGTCACAGGTCACTGCACCCTGGTTACAGGTCATTGTATATTGTTCACAGGTATCTGTGTTATGTTCACAGGTCATGAAGAATTATCACAAGTCAATCCAATCTAGTCACAGGTTATTGAAGATTTGTTATAGATCATTTCATACTTTTATCACAGCTAATTGCAACTGAACCACTTCCATTTCCTGAGTCTTTGCAATATGTAACTGGTCATCTTTTGTTGGTCACAGTTTAGCTTATATTTGTCAAATGTCATTGGATATTGATCGTATGTCACTTCATCCTGGTCACATGTCTTGATAAATGGCCACAGGTCTCTGCATATTGGTCGCAGCTCATTGACATCTAGTCACAGATCATTTCATATATTCGCAGTTGATTGCACAGGGATCACAGGTCACTGCATTCTGGTCATAGATCATTATATGTTGGTCACAAGTCACTGCATTCTGGTCACAGATCATTAATAATGATTATAGTTACTGCATTCTAGTCACAGGTTATTGTAGAATGATCAGAGATCATTTCATATTGGTTACAGTTAATTCCATGTTGGTCACAGTTCACTGCATGACGATTGCATATCAATTTTTCCTATAGATTTTCTCATATGTGCTAGTGGTCACACATTCGTGCCGAACATCCAAAGTGCATTGCAAAAAATCTTAGCATTGTATTGGTTATGATATGGTCAATATGTGTCATCCAATGTTGTACATCCTACATTTACAAAAAATCAATGAATGAAAAAAAAGAGGGAATTATAAAAAATATATCAATGTGTATTTCCAGTCTTCATTCTCTTCCTCTCTTTATTCTTGTTGCTTTGACTCAACGGAACTAAGCTGTTACATGTTCTACGATTGTGATCACTTTCACCACACCGGCCACATTTGACGGCTATGTTTTCCTCATACGCTGGTCTGAATCTCTTCTCAGTAGGCCTTCCACAACTTTGCTTTTGATTAGGTGCAATTACAACTATGTTATGGACATCATTTGGCACTATCCATTCAGCTAGATTTCCTACAGGAAAAATGGTTTCTTGGTATGTATTTCTGAATGCTTCACTTGTGTAGTAGTAGGAGCAGTATTCATATGGATCCATCTTCATACTCGTAAACACAGTCAAAGCATGTGGACCATGTAGTTGATTAACTTGAAGCATCCTACATGTGCATGTCCGGTTTTCTATATCAACAACGAAAGAGGAACTTTCACCGTTAACTGAGAACATTGCCTGATTATTAGGGAAAACCTACAGATATAGACTCAAGTTGTAGGCATAATAAGTCACGTAATTAAAAAGTAGGACACAGATGAAATTGCATGTCTTGTAGTTATATATAATATTGCACAAATACTGAAACACAACAGTACAGATCACAGCAGAAGTCATAGCACATGTCACAGATCAGTTCAGGGAAGTCACAGATTATAGATTAGGTCACAGTAATTAAGTTTAGCCTCAAGTTTCTCATATATGTACCCATTTCCCTCATCTTCTTCTTATACTTGCTTAACAAGGTTGTAAAAGTGCCTTTGGTGTACTCCTTGTGTCTGCAGAACCAAGATTGTAAAATTTATCTCAATGACTCCAACAAAGCTAGAATAGGGTAGTTCTTGGCAAACTTTGCGACTGTATTAACCGAATCCACAATATTCGATGTTATTGTGAAATACCGATTTGAAGGCATGTGGAAACGTGACCATCTCTCAGGTCCAACTTCGTCCTACAAACAAAAACATGGAAATGTGTATCATATAGTGTACAGTACCATGTTAAACGTATTTATGTGAATATCATCATAGGACAATGTATAGTATAGTACCAGATAACCCCTTATCTTTTCATTAATCGAGCCGAGTTGTTGCATGTAATATTCATATTTCAATAGTGTGTAGGCACGTACAGCTGCATTGAATGCTTTTGTTATGTTTTGTCCTGATCTCCCATACCGTGATTTTAGATTTTGTAGTAGATGGTACGAATATATCCCATGACATGCTCCCGGATACACGTTTTCAATCTCCTTTTTATGCTATTGTGACGATCCGACATGAAGCACAAACCGTCTCTGTCCCCATTTGCTTTCCTTAACTGTCTAAAAAACCATGTTCAAGAGCTGTCATTCTCATTATCCACAATCCCGAAAGCAAGTACATAAATGCTGTTATTTGCATCTTGTGTACATGCCGTGAATAAGGTGCCATCATAGTGTCCATTTAGATAGATGTCATCAACCATAACAACTGGCTTACAATGTTTCCATCCCCGTATAGATGCACCTAGTGCCATGAAGCAATATTTAGACCTATTGTGACCATTAATTTCTAGATTTGTGATTGATCCAGGATTTGTTTGTTGTAGCATAGAAAAAAGGCTGGTATCTTATTGAATGAATCAGTTGGATCACCCCTTAGCACTTTCAGAGTTTCCTCTCGAGATCGCCAAGCTTGGACATAATTCAAAGATACTCCATATGTATGCAGCATGTCGTTGCGTATATCATTCAGTGTGTATATGGTGCGCGATGATGTGTACTTGTACTTAATGCAGGTTGACACAACTGTCTTTGTTACTTGCCTATGAGTACTGAGTACGATGTTTGAAGCACATATGTGACCTTCTGCAATGTGTCTGATTTTAAACATATCTGTTCTAGCTAACTTCGATGCTCTACATATCTAATTACACTCGTCACGTGAACATTTTACGAGATAGTCTTTCTTATCGGACCGAACAACCACGTACTCAAACATGTTTTGGATTGCATAAAACGACAAGCTTAATTTCATTATCTCCTTGTTACGGAAGACTCTTCATTCCTCTACCTCCCTAGCGTCTGCCACAGCCACAACTGTGACCTCATACTCAAAATTATCACTAGATGGATCCATTATTGCTCCAGATATGTCTGATGACATATCTGTTAATAAAAACCCATGTTCGTTCGATTGAACATCAACTGATAGCGCAATAAGCTGTTTTTCGATATCTGCAGTTGTGACCTCGATGTGAATTGGATATTTGGCAGGGTCACAACTCATATCCTTTAAAACCATGTAAGACAAGACATTCTCGTCACTTTTGATTGCTATTGGAAGCAGATCACTATTCAAGACATACTTCATTGTCACAGCAACTTTTGCAGGGTCAAAGCTAAACTCTTTCATAGCTGTGTCGACAAGCCTCAAATACCCGCAACTACGATCAATTAACACCAGTGACACTTGTGATCCATTCAACAGACACACGTAAATTAACCCCATTTCTGAAAAATTAGCAAAAACATGATCAGCCTAACATCCAATTATAGTTACATCTAATTGCGTATGGGTCAAAATTACTTTAATGGTCAAATGTCACAATAAACATATCTCGATTCTCAAGTATCATTGTCATGTATTGAATACATGTATGTCACATATTTTTATTTCCCAGATTTTTTTTACGAGAGGTCACAGATCATTGCATAGGTCACAGTTTGGTCACAGTTAATGGCATGTCGGTCACAATTCTGTTAAATGATCACAAGTCAAAGCAAACACATGTCGTATCTTGAACGTCATGGTCACACATTGAATACATGCAGGTCACATATACGTATTAAATCACAATTACATGCAATAATCAGCCACAGTAACTAAGTATAGATCTGTCGCATATAATTAGATTCAAATAAGAGCATTAGTATCATAAAACACAGATGCTGTATGTTACACGTCACACATTTCGAGACACAAACACCCATGCGTACTGAATGCATGAGGTTATATCTTGAATCCAGGGTCACATGTTTTCCATAACGGTCACAACAGTTTCAAACAGTAATGTTCGATATTCATGATCACAGTTCCGTCAAAAATTACATTTTTGATCAATCGAAGCTTGTCTAGCGTGAATAAACGACAAATTATAATGAATAAATCGCAATTATACACCTGATCGATGTAATTACACGTCTGAATAATGTAATCAGTGACTATTCGAGACACCGTATTTTAATCCGACGTCATACGACCCGCGGCTGCAATTTGTGATCAGAATTCGGTTTCATCGTCACTTTCGCAAGAGCCTGCGGTAATTGGATGTATTTTCAGATCTTCTGGCTATTGGAATCAGCTTGAGAGATGATTTATTCTTTTTTTGGAGAATCCTGATTGTACAGTATCTCAGCCTATTTCTTCGGGATTGTTTTCCAGATGAAACTATACTAATATTTATATTTATTTTTAGGCTAATTTCTGATTCTTGAAATATGATACTTATTTTCTTGTTTTTGAAATGTCCTGTACTTAATTTCTTGTATAGGAAATTTTCCCTTTTTTTTTAGCTTACCATTACCAACAGCCCAACTCAAGAGTAAACCCAAAATCCAATCCAATATATCTGAACCCTCACCAATCACACATTCAATGGCTGATTTGTGAGAATAGACGATTACAAAGGCACGGTGACTTTGAATTTTTCTCTCAGCCTCTCATTGTCTCACTCTCATCTTTGTGAGCCCTCGATATGGTGCCGCCTGCGTCACCTTTCTTTCATCGATGCCATTAATGGAAGCCAAATCACAATTACTTCAGTTTCAAATTATACCTCAATGTCCTCCGTCGTCTCCGTAGGTTGCCACTGCTATGGAGGTACACATTTTGTTTATATTTTTTCTTTTTCTTTTAAAATAGTTTAAGATGGAGAATCTGATTTGCGGTGAGCTGTGGAGCCAGAGGGTTTTGTGCCTTCACTGTCGTGTGCTAGGTAGTGGGTGGTGAGATTATTTTTAGATTTTGATAGGATTAGAAAATCACGTTATGGGATTATGATTTATTGCTCAAATATTGAATGGGATTCTGGGAATAGGATTTATTGCTAACATATTCTAGTTCCTTTTAAATATTGAATGGGAATCCAAAATGGGATTAGGATTTAGGATTATATTCAATCGATGCTTCTAAGTCAAAAACTAATATAAAGAACTAGTTTAGTAAATTTATGTATTTGCTTCTAAAACTTCCCACGGTTTTAAGAAATGTTGGGTAAGTGAACGAAAATTTCTAATTTCCCTTTTGCTGGAACAATATGTATAATGCTTAGCCATATATGCTAGTACATAAATTTCATTTTTGCTACAACAAACAGAAATATTATTTTTAGGTATCATCAGTAAACAACAAAAGATAAAGACTGCTGCAAGTTAACAATTACCTTATTAAATGGCCGAAAATTGCAGCCCGTGCAGGAGATAGACTCTTCCCTTATTAAAATACTTTTGAGGGCCACTAAATTTATTTTTACCATTTACAAATTTGGTTGTGTAAACATGGCTTGTTAGTTGTTGGCACAATATTGAGAAGTAGTTGCCTTTGCTCTATTTGGGTTAGATATTATGCTACAACTCAAGCTCCCTGATGGCCTCCCATTTCTTGCTTACTTCTCTATTTAAGTCGGGATGAGACTTTTCATGAGTTTCTTTTCTTCATTCTAGGCTCATAAGTTGTGAAGAAATCAAGTTCATTTCTTTCCCCACTTAAATGCCTCATGGCAGGCACGTTCTGCAAAAGTCCTGCACCTGGTGAACAACCATTCGTGAAGGTAATTGATATAAATTTGATGATGGGAAAAGAAAAAAATGAAGGTAGGAACGGATTTGTATTTTCAAAGTAGATGTGTGTATCAATTTTTTTTTTTGTATTTTTTGTATACAACACATGCTCAGAAGAAATTATTTTGTAATTGGCTTTACCCCTATTTAGACTATTTCAATGCTTTATTTATTCTTTCACGGTTCGAGGCTTCACATCTCTCTGCGTTCGCATCGTTACATGGTTATATAATCATAAACTACAACCCCATATCTATTGATACCCTGAGTAGCTGCATTTACGTGGTCATGTTATTCCAACATCATAATTTATTAGCTGCTAGATGACACTATATCAGTGTTGACACTGTAAGTTATCTGGTTTAATCATCATTGGTTGATGGCATAAGTGATATACTATTTTAATCTTTCGTCACTTTAAATGTGTCATGATTTTTCTTACATTTGTCTACAGCCTCTGTTTTTTATTGAACCATAGAGCACGCAGAGTTAAAAGTGTGATATTAAGGAATAAGATGGTTTGTCTTACATTTAAGGAGAGGTTTCAACATGCTTTTTACTCACAGGGACGTGTTCTGTTGGGAATGAGAAATTGCAATTGTTGAGAGCAATGAGGGTTGGGGTAAGCAGCACGACACTAAAATTTGGTACAAGGCCATCTTGAAATATCATTAATTTCAATTTGAATTAGAAGAAGAGAAGTTAGTTATGTTTTTCAATAGCGTGCATGCATTTTTACATTATGTATTCAAGTGAATACGGCAAATAATGTGATAAATTTTTCACTAACTTATGACTCGATATCTTTTTACAAGCACGTGTTATTGAAGACAACTCTATGTACAACTCGATTTTTTCATATTATATCATGCTAAAACTAATTGTCCATGTCACAAGATACAAATGGGAACTAAAGCGGCAGGTTTTGGGTATATAACCAAGGGACAACATGAAGATGGTTTATGGAGAATCCTCTTAAACATTTTGGAGTTCACAGCATTCCAAAAGTTCAACGATTTACCAAGTCAAAGACCAATCTCATGAAAGGAAATTCAATTTCGACTAAAATAGCAACTTACCGAACTGACCAATGAATTCGTTGCCATTTTAAGCGTCATTGATAACGTTTTACTTTTACCAACGAAACTTCTATTTTTAAACATCTTTCCATTACCAACGGAATGTCCATTGGTAAAAAAACTCATTATTTCCAACAGAAATTCCGTTGATAAAAGTCTTTCTTTGCCAACAAAATTTTTGTTGGTAAAAACCTTGTAATTGCAAGCGGAAATTTCGTTGGTAAAAATCTTTTCACCACCAACGGAAATTCCATTGGTAAAAACCTTATAATTGCCAATGAATATTCCATATTATCAACAGAATATTTGACCAACGAACTATCCGTTGCTGAAATTATTTTCTAATATAGCTTCAATACCAACAAATGGTATTTTTGTTGGTGAATCTTAATTTATTATTTTTTAATGAAAATAACTAAAAATTTAAAAACCCACTAATTAATAATCATTAATTTCAAAATGCACTAAATAATCGAAATTGTCAAAACACACTAAAGCTTTAATAAATTAAATTATTACATTGAAATTTCAAATATCATGTCTTACATATCATCATTTCGTGATCTCGAACTAAAAGGAAATTGAAAATTAAGAATATTTAGTTCCCTAAGCATGCTTCCCACCGTTTCTTACATCTCAACCTTGTGATTTCTTTCAACTCATTCAAAACGGACAATGAAGTCATCAATCCTTTCGTTGTTCTCATCTATTATATTTCGTGCAATTGTAAATTCACACAACATTTTTCAGATCATTCTTGCTTCTGACTTGAGCATCAAAGAGCATACCCCGATATAATCAAGCATTAATTTGTTGAACTTCTATTTGTTTCATAGATATATAGCTTGTCACGTGTACAACTATTAGAAAGAAAACCCATACACTTCCTCATTGACCATGCATATCCTCCTAGGAAGGATGATGTAAAGTATGTGGCAAATAAAGATCTATTCATTGTAACGAGTTACTAAACCCGATCTATTTGCTCCTACAAAGACTCATACAATAGTATACTAATGCTAGTGATTTCCTAAATCTATGCTCCGACAAAGGCTCATATGGTAAGTCTACTGATACTAGTTATTTCCTAACCCTTTCATGCTTGTCTCATAAATTATAACAAGTAGAAATGTAATTCCTCTATCTTCAAGTATTTATAACTAGGGTTAGTCCTTTCCTCCAAGCACCAGCAGCTAGAATTTCTATTTTAGAAGTTCATACGTTCTCACTTATAGATTATGCAGTCTATATAATATACATTCTTTATCTTATTCTTTATTTTTCAACTATCTCTAATAACCCAAATGGTCACTGAACTTTGCAAAAAAAAAAAAAAACTTCACAAGGTCACTGAATATTAAACATCATCCAAGTTATCACTGAACTTTGCAAAGGTTTTACACGGGGTTATTGAACTTTAAAAATCACTCAATTTATCACTAAGCTTTGCAAAATAATTTCACGGGGTTACTAAACTTTGCGAAAAATTTCCAGGGGACTTGGGAAACTTTTTTCAAAGTTTAGTAATAAATGGGATAATTTATAAAGTTCAGTGACCTCGTTGAAACATTTTGCAAATTTCAGTGACCCCGTGAAAATCTTTTGCAAAGTTCAATAATAATTTGGATTAATTTTTAAAGTTTAGTGATCTCGTAAATTTTTTTTGTAAAGTTCAATGACCATTCGGGTTATTAACTCTCTTGTCCTTAGTTTATCAATATTTCATGCTAGTTATTATGTGAATTTCGTAACTCAACTAAATACTGAAGTAGACAACAGATCAGCGAGCATGTACGATAGAAGTACATATTATTCTACCTAATTCTACTACAGAAAGTTAATCATGATGTTCTTGTTCAATATCTGAAGAAATAGTAATTTACCATTTTGGTAAAAATAGAAATAATAGCTGGTTGCTCATTTCAATCAAAAGAAACTATAAATAAGAAAAGGCCACTAAAAAGAGTGATATGCCTTAGGACTGGTAACAGCTATACATTAACAACAACCAGAAAATCTTCCCACCGCCCTTTAAAGGGCAAGCAACATTCTTCTCAATATTCAGAATAATTTATATAGTATAAGCTTGAGTGGCAACAAGGAAGATATGCAATCCGACGAACTTCTAGGAAAAAAATTATTCAGAAAAAGCTGAACCACAAGGTTCTTTAAGTTGTTGCCACTAACCTGCAACTTTTACATACTTTTGAAGCTTTCATATATGTACAATATATTGGAAGTTGAATCACAGAAACACCTTATACATTCTTTACTCTAAATTTCAAAAGAAAAGAAACCAACAACCACAGTCCTTCAAAAGCACATCCATTGAGATAATAGAAATCAATAAGCATCAACTCATTTAACAAAATCAAGTGCATGGTACAATTAAATTGAACCACCAAAATGTTCGTGGCCTTTGGCTAATTAAATAAGAAATCAGATATCAATAACTATCAAGATTAAGGGTGAATGTTCACAAATTTCAGCATATAAAGTGTTGGGTTTTTGATACCCTATAAATTCGGGTTATGATATTAACGTGGGTTAATATTATTTCATATGTATAAGTTGATGAATGAAATAGTCCAACAACCAAGTCCATGAGCTACACCCAGCCCAATTGTATTCTCCTTTAGATGACTTGAATCTTGTCTCGTTTACCTCTTTAATGGTCCAACTTAAAGCCTAACCCTAGAGTATATATATGACTATAATCCTAGTCACTTTCTTATGATGTTTTGTGTGGTTTTCTAAGAAAAATAAATGAATCCCGGCTGTCCCCTTTGTGTGTGAAAAAACAGCCTCTAGAAGTGTCCAAAACGCTTTTTTACTTTGTGTAATTGGTGGTTCATTCATAGCATACATTTGTGGTGTCTTCTCCTAACCTTTGTGGTCACAAATCATCATCTTTTCTTGTCCTCTGTGAGTAAGATTGAATAGCAACCGAGGTGAATTAGATTGATTGTGGTTTGGAGCCGATTGGATTGGTTGTTGGTAGAGAAATGTATGTTGGATTGAGTCCGAAAATCACTGATTTGAAGATCATTTGAGAGAGCTTCGACAACACTTGATATCACAGCTTCAAGGTGGTGGTTTTGACTTGTGAAACATACCAAAAAGTCTAGAAATCTTAGCAGAAATCAGATCGAAGAAGCTGTCCGAAAATTATCAAAATCAACCTCTGTTTTTCGCGTTTTCTGATCAATTCAGAAGTAGTTTGGGGAAACGAAGACCACTGACGTGACGTGCAGGTGGAGATGAACCCTGCAGGGCAGTGTGTCTCAATGGCAACGACGCTTGAAGCCCACACGCAGAGAAAGTGAGGGAGCGTGAGCTGGAATCTTTAGACGGTCCCTTCAGGCAGTTTGTTCCTCACATTATTTTTGACATTTTTTTTTTGTAGAAAGTTTTCTGTTTTAGAGTCTGCAGTAGAATTTGGATAGCGTTGTTCTTCGGGCGTTTGAAATTTGATCGTGATTTCTTGGTTATTGCAGTTTCTAGAGACTTTAGAACGAATAGTGGTAGTCCTAAAGTGTTAAATTCACGTGTCTCATAATTCATGGACTCAGATTGATCAGCTCTGATAAATTGGCTGAAACTTTTACATTATCGCACTAGTAGATCATCGTGTGGGGTGATCATTAGAATTGGGGGTTGTCATTGCTTGAAAACCATTGCTTGTGCTAAAAAATTTAGGAATTATTTGCCCTATTTGAAGTGTTGGATTTAATTGCAAGTTAATAACCGTTTCTGTGTTTAATTTGCTACATTGCGTGAAAATTTGAATTTTTGTTAATATACCTTCGTGTTTGCATTAATTATCCTATTAGAACACATGGACTTGACCTGTTCAAATATTCCCTTGATCTAAGATCGTGAATCTTACAAAACCCTAGGAATCTAGAACAGTGTATATTGCGGTCATAGGATAACTTTGTGTGACCTATCTGTGTTTTTGATTGTCCTGTTTTTCTTTAAAATATCTTTACACTTTGAAATTGAAATTTTTAATGGAAAAGGGGATTTTTCTATTTAGCAACAAAATATGAAGGGTATTTTGGTCCAACAAAAAGTTTCAAAAGTCATAGATGGCAAATT